AACCATTTCGGAAATAGCTCAGTTCATATCAGCATCTATCTTAAGTAAACAACTTTCCCACCTTTGTTGAGGCATATCCATAGGTAGACATGGGTTGTGGTGGTGGATGTGCCCCAATGCTAGTGACACCAAACAGAAGCAAATGTACTTTGAAAATTGCATTTATATTGTTAAAGCTAAGTTTTCAAGAACTTAAAATCTGTATCCTCCTAATCTATTTTCAAGAGTAGGTACAAGACACAGGATCAGCAAAGTCTCAGTGGGTGAAGTCCCAGGCCTGACACTTTGCATGTTTTAAAGAGAGAGAGAGAGAGAGCAAGCCAAAGATAGCAGAGAATACTAAAGTGAGACACACACAACACCACTTAAATATTTGTTGGACCATCAGAGAAAAGGCACATTGCTTACCTGTAACTGTAGCTGAGTGGCCATCTGAGTATTTGCAGATGCAGGTGCCTATGCAGTGCCTTGTTTGGAACATTCTAGAGTTGAAAGGCTTTGGTGGGAAATCCCACCATGTTCCAGAGCACAGGCTACTGGATGTGTCTCCTGCCTTTCTCTTGATTCCTGCAGGGGCCACCAGCCAAAGGCACAAAGAATACCCTGTGCAATAAAATGGTGGGTTATGTGAATGCACAGTTGACTTGATGCACTACAATTACACATAAACAACCTATCTTCATTGTTTCTGTGTGTCACACAAAATGGGTAAGTAGCCTCATAAAAATGAGGTGGGGTAGGGTGCCAAGACAATATTGAAGAAAGTGATGGGGAGGGAGGAGTAGGACTACCACCAAAATCAGCTTAGCTAGGAAAATCTTCCAGACAGCTGGTCCCTTAAAGGCACACTTATTTGTGATGGACAGAGACCAGGAAGAAGAACATTTCCAAATCCATAACAGGAATTGGTAGAGTTAGTGTAGGGCAGCCTAATATGACCTCTGGAATGAGATGGATTTAAGTGTTTGGAACCTCTGGTAAGCTTTAGAGTTGTGTTGTAGATACCAAGGGTACCTAAGTGGGGCCAATTTATGTTCCTGTAATCTTTTTCATTCAGCTGTAGAATGTTGCAAACAAGGCAATGGACAGACACAGAACCCATGTATGTAAATCATGAAGACCATGAGGAAGACTTTATAAATAATTGTATAAACACTTAAATTTGCTAATTTTGGCACAGGGTTCTGGCAGAATTGCTTTTAAGTCTCATGAATTTCAGAGGAAGAGTTAATAATGTTAAGTTCCACTGAGTTATCAAATTCACATGCGGGGTACAGCCTATGTTTCTGGTGGACTTTTGAAGTCTTTAAGTATGGCTGGACTGTGCCTATTTGAAAATAAGCATGATTTCAAGGACACATTCTTAAGAAATGGAGCTTAAGATGCATGCTTTATTGCATTTAAATGAGCTGGTCATTTATTTGGAGAATTGTATTTCCTCTGCCTCCACCTATTCCTTACTCCCAGCTGAGGATCTACTGCTTTGATATTGAATTTAGCCTTGTTTCAGAATAAAACTCAAAACTGGCACTGAGCCACATTTTCCAAACCATGGGCCACAAGATGCGAATGGACGCTCTCAACAAACCATTAGCCAGTACCTTATCTCACTCTCCACAAGGAAATAGTTGCAAGCTCTGTGAATTAATCATCTTTCCATTAGAAGCCTGGAAGGCATTTGCACAATTGAAAGCAATGCCTATATTCTCTAGGTACAAATGTTGAAATTGTTCTTTATGAAAATTGTTTGGGTTAGGATAAAGTAACCATTTTGCTGGAGGAGAGTAATTTAAACATTAGGCCTCGAGGTTAAACAATCTTTTCATAAGTTTTTTCCTTCTCTCCATTATTCTTTTAAAAATTTGCTAGTATTGACCTTCGCATTGCCAACAAGTTGAAAGCTCATTCTTCTTCCTATTTCCCAATAAGCTTTCCCTCCTTTCCCATAATTAATATTAATATAAGCCCCCCAATATATTAGTCTGTTAAACTGCCAACTAGAGAAAAATGTTAGATTAAAATAGCCAATATTGATCCAACCATAGTTTTAATTACATCACTTATAAATAACTGTAATACACATACATACTATATTTCCAACCCTGGTCAAGGCAGTGGCATATTTATCCTTTGATGCCAGGTAGTAAATAGCAAAAGTATCTTCTTAGCTGTGCTCTTTCACACTTAGCATTGGGCATTTTTATTGGTATAATTCTAGAATATTTTCAAAACTCCCCACTGTCACTATTGGAACTAAGTAAAAGAAGTTTTATTTCACAGAAACCTGGAAGAACGGATTGGTTCACATGTCATGATAAGCCACCATGAAAATGAGCTGCAGTTGGTAGGTTCTTGCTTGCTCCTCATATTTCTGACAGAGGATCAGGTACTCTGTAGCTTGCCCTGGCTTTTTTCCTATTTAGTTCTCTCACCTGTTCCCTGAATGTTTCTCATGGACCTCTGCAGCACAATTTCAGGAGCTTGTTCTGATGAGTATTTTCACGCACATTGGCAGAGCAGAGGTTCTTTTTATATATATATATATATATATATATATATATATATATATTTCACATCTGCAGTGAGCTTCACCAATTTAAATAGGCTTTTCACATTTGAGATTTGAGCAGCTTTTAAATTTTTGGGAAGATTTGTACAAATCTAGTCAAATACAGTAACAACTCTTAAGGAACAACTACTGCACTGAAGTAGTTAACAGAACTTTACACCACCTTCCCAAAATATTTAAAAATAAGTTTTTAAATTAAGAACTCCCTGTCCCATTGTGTAATTGTAGTAATATCTCAATGTAAATAGAGGCTGCAGACCAAAAGTTTCATCACTTGAGTCTCCACACTGATTTTAGTTGTGCTATACCACCATTTTATCATGTCATTTCAGAAATTTTTAAAATAGACAAAAACAAAACAAACGATCTACCACTGCACCCCTTCTCCATGTTAGCAGTATATTTTTATCCTAGATTTTAAAAATCTTCTTCTGGAATCCAATCCTAAACTGTTTTCCAACCCCAAACATCTTTACTATCTTAAAATACTATACTGGAAATGTGGACATCTGGGACTGAAACTAGCTGAAGTAATTCTGTAGCCATCTCTAGATGTAAACAAATTACATTCCTATTTGTACTTACCTGAGATTAAGCCCAACTGAGTGGTTTCTGAGTAAACATGTATATGGTTGCAGTGTGTGTACACATACATGAAAATATAGCCATAACTATATATATTTAAGGGCACATGACCATTAAGCTATATTTGGATGGCTGGTAATTATAGTTCAGTAACATTAATGAGAAGAGACATTCAAAATAAATAGGCATGGTATAGAATTATCCCAACCAATCACTGGAAATGAAATTTTGATTGCATGATAACATAGACACAATAAATCAAATTTTTGACCCAGCAAGACAGAAAAATAAAGTCTGAATTATTTGTTGCCCTTTATGTAGCCAAGAAAATTAAAGGTTTAAAGTTTTGATATAATTTGTAATTAGGAAATGGGGTCTGGGGAAAAGTTGATTTAAAGGGCAAACAGCAAGGGGCAGGATCCTGTTAAAAAGTTGTCCTAAAAATGTTGAACTTGCATTCAACTATACTGCTTATGTCTAGAGTAGTGCCACTGATTTCTATAGAATGACTCTAGACAAAATGTCTGATCACTGTAGCTGTAATTTCTTCAAGATGAACATTGTTCCCTTGGGGATTTTGGTTTTACATGCACATAATCGCAGTTAAGCTGAAGAACATGAATTTAAGCCAGTTGGCACTGTCTCTTAAACACATTTTCTTGGCATTAGAGACTTTAAAAACTATTGGAACATATTTCCAAAAAGTGTGTTGTAGGCTGTTATGTAAACCTGTTAAAATTCCAAGTTGTTAAACTGAGGGCCAAAATAGAGAGCACAGGGGGATGCATTAGTAGTCCCATTGTTTTACAACAACTACAAAATGTTAGGGATGCTTAAATCTTTTCTCTTTGAGTTAAAAAGCATCTGGGGACATTTTATTCAGAGTAACAGCCTTCAGGGAAAGGAGTTACATGCCACCTTGTCTTTTACCACCTAATCTAATTAGCAGCTATGTTGTGTGTCAGTTCAGATAGTATACAAAACAGAGGATAAAGCAAAGCATTTTCAGAGAGAAAATAATTACCAAATAAAGAAAATCAAGTGAAGTCCAAAATTCTGGGTGTCAAAAGGGCCAAATACGGTATGCTATCCATATGATGCTCTAAATTTGGACACTCATAACTGGAAATGACTTGAAAGTCTAGAGAGTTGTAAGAGCACTATGTCTGAATAATGGTATAGTGCCATGATCCAACTGGATTAATGGGTAAAAGAGCAGTGTCAATTGTGTATACAAGTGTGACTTGCAACATACTGCTGCAAGTGCAGCGTTCTCCTGTTCTGTGATCCAAGAAGCAACATCAATGCACTTTTCCCAGATATTCTATTACTTTTCCTTTCTACCCAAGTTCATTCCCCCATCCCACAATATTCAGCACCTTGTGACCACTGAGCATGCTCAGTCACACTGGGCTGCTTTTTTACATATATAAATATTGGCGTTTTTGTAAGCCTCTTCACCAAGGATCGTGCCATAGTGGCTTCATAAAGACTGGAACATAAATAACGATGTTGCTCTCAGTATATAGGATCTACAGATAAACTGCAAGCTGTACCAATGTTTTAGATTGAATGGGGACTCAGTTAAGTATCACACCTTTTCTCATAAAAAGACAACACACCATATTTTAAAGTTTAAAACATGAAGTTACATATATTTGATTTATAATATGAATACTGATATAGTTTTATGAAAATTTCCTGTGTATGCAGGAAAATGTTAAAAAAGGGTTTGTGATTAAAATATAGAGCTCTTCCCATTGAATTCCGTTTTTCTTTAGAGTTGACTCTGATGCACTCCATTTGTTCTGTTAACACCATGAAAAGATCTCTTTCCAGAGTCTGTTTACTGAGGCATTTGCCTAAGGAGGTGAGGTTCAAACAGTTCTTTCTGCACACTTCGAGAACTCTTGAAGTCTGAATGGCTGCATGAACAAAATATTGTAAAATGAGATATAAAAACATTTGATTTTTGGATGCAATCATATTGAGTGGCATTTGTCTCCATGTATGTGTTTATATTCTATGCTTATTCTATATCCGATAACTTAGATTTCTCCTAACTTCTACATACACTTGTCTAATGCACATCAGGATTACATTCCACATGGCATGCATTTACTTCTAGAACTGCATTAAGTTTGCAAATCCCATACACACTTTCCTATTAAATCCCACTCAATTCAATATACACATAGAATTGCACTTTTTCTGTTTGTCTCTCTCTCCTTAGACTGATATCCATACAAACTATATATGATTAACTTTCTAACAGATGTTTATTCAGAGGTAAGACCCATTGTGTTCAATTAGGTTTACTCCTTAGATGTACAAAGAACTGCAGCTGAAATTTTAAACAGGCAAACTTAAAATAATGTGCTGAAGATACATATTGTCCTTGTACAAAAATATACAGTAACAGTACAGTTATCATGCATTTTTAAAATAAAATAGCAAGCACTACATATTTGGCAGTAAAGTATTTTACACAGCACTTGTATACTTGTCTACTCAGAAGCAGGTGCCATCAAGTTTAATACGTATTATTCCCAGGTACGTAAATATATAGGATGACAGCCTTAAACATAAATTGTTTTATATGCTCTTGATGATGTGCCACCCCAGTAAAAATACAGAGCTCTTATTCTCTAACTTTCAGCTATCTAGTGTCCAGTGATATTTAAATTCCTTTAAAGTCATTTACATATGTGAAGAATACTACATAGATGAAATTGCCATTCATCTTAGTTTTTGTTTCCTAGATTATTCTAACAAATATATCTGTACTTTAATGGCAAGATTCAGCTAAGCTGATCTGCTGTAAGGATAAAATTCCACTTGTCTCTCTCTCTGACCAGGAGCAGAGAAGCCTACTGCCAGGAAAGAAGAGGCACATTCAGAATTCAACATACTATTGGGTGTTTCTGAAATATGTGTTAAACCCACGATTAGTACTGTAAGCCCTGATATGTCTGATGAAGAAGGGAGGGGCCTGGGCTGTGTCCAACATTTACTTTCCTTGAAATCAGAACATGATCTGCACTTTCAGTGGGCTGAAAAGAATTCTAGAGCACAAGAGCAGTTTCATAGTTTACTGATATACTCAGACAGCCTGAGATCACATCCTATATGTTTATATCCATTACACATATGATAAGCACTATGCTTTTTATTACATAGATTCTGTGCATACAAACTTGAACAAAGCATTATTTTCTTGGTAGAAGACTTGGGTCCAAACTACATATGAGACCTGCAAATGCGTCTCATATTTTTTTAAATGCACAAATAGCTGGGGGATGGGGCAAATCAGGTTCAGAACATGTTTCTGGGTAGTTCAAGCCTTTACTTCTCCATTTCCTTGAATGAAATCGTCTACCCTCCAAAAACTGCTAATATACATGGAGAAAATACAAATATAACTCAGCTATTAATGAGGCTAATAGTTTTAGGGTAGCTATTTTGATTGGACAATAGCACTTTCCCACACTTTTTCATTCCTGAGAGCCCCATTACTTCTTTTGTCTCTGCACCTGCCTTTCATCTGTTTGGACTGCCTTCTGATCTCAGACTGCCTCTCTAAACTATGCTTGTGTTTCATCCCTCAAGCAGAAACTTCAGCCAACCATCCCAAAGTCTGATCCTGAAATCCCTGGGCTTTTTCTTTTCCTTCAGGAAATAGTTACTTTCCTTCAGTTTTCACAAAGGGAATTTTTCTGTATTTCTCTTGTGTATTTACATTGTTATTTGTTTTGTTGTAAAGTTCTGAAACCTTTAATAGCTAGCAATGGTACACAAAAGCAGTAAATAAATATATAAATAAGTGACTTTCAAGAAAGGTCACCTTAACTTCTATCAGGCCATATGAAACTTGCAGCTTCTCATGGATTAGCACAGGATGCTAATCACATGTCTCTTACTTTTTGTCTAGTTTATCTCATACTCTGAAAATACTGACCTACTCATACAATCAGCTCATTAAGGGTAAGTCACCATTCTGGGTTGTCAAGTTGTTTAAACCCAGTAAGTGTCAAGTATGGCTTGTTTTAAGGTTTGCCTGACCCACAATGAGCTGTTGTGTCATCCAAATGCAGCAAAATATTTCACCATGGAGTGTAGGAATTGGTTAGTAATTTTCTCAGAAAAAGTGCCAGACCTCCCTATTACTCTTCATTATCTTGCAGGTATGACTGCTAGTGTCAGTACCTGAGTGGCACTTCAGAAAATCATCACTTGTTCACCGTGCTTTTTTTCAACTCCAGAAAATGGTGCAATTATGTTAATAATTTTAAAAATTATAATTTTTCTGTTTGCTTATCCAGAGTATGCAAGTGCATACTTAAAGCTGACTGATATATCTTTCCAAGTCAATTTGTCTGTTCCAGCTGTGGCTACTGCAGTTCACTGACAGTTCTAAAACAAATGCAGGAATATGCACAAATTTAATGGCTGGGAAATAAATGGAGGGGAATTCTGCTACATTTATGTCTGGGAACTAAACAGGGAAAATTTGAGCAGCTACATTAACTAATGCTGTTATTGCAAGTATGCAATACTTCTTCAACTGTGCTGGCAGACAGTCTATGTCCAGACCTGGATTCAAAATGCTAGTTGTTAACTTTTAAAGTTCTAAATTGCTTGGGGTCAGGTTAACTAATGCAACATCTCCTCCCATATTTACCTATCCAGACATTCAGATCACTGAATGAGGCCACCTTCAGGTGCCTCCACCAAATGAGATGAGGTTGGTTTCCTCCTTCTTGGAGGGGGCAACTCATATGTGGAATGCTTTTCCCAAAGAAGCTCCTTTAGTACACACATTATGACCTTTCTATTCTCATTGCATTTACTATTCTCCTGCTCATTTCATGATGTTGTAATGGTTTTATTCTTTACTGAAGTTTTTATCTTGGTTTTATTCCTTGCTGATGGTTTTAACTTGGCTTTATTCTGCATTTTTTATTTTAAAAGTTTTTAAATGTGTGTTTTAGATGTATCTTACGGAGTCCAGAGAATTTTAGTTATTGATAGATATAACAATACAATAACTAGGATATTGAAAAGGCAAATATTTTTAAACCAGAAAAGCTGCTTTTAGAGAAATTGGGATTACAGAAGTGGCAGCAAGGTGTGTGTATAAATATGCACAACCCTTTCCCTTTCTATTATTTCCCATTCCAAATTACCTCCCAGAGGATTTCATCCTGTTAAGTTCTATATGTAAATTTAAAATTCCATGGAGATAAACCCTGCCAGTTTTTCATTCAAGAACAGTAATCAGGAAACTGTTGCATACATCTAGTTATGATATCCTAGCTAATAATAAACATCTACATACTATAAAATGCAAAGTGACAATTTTAATCAGAATTTTGTTAAACAATATGAACTGACAGAGGCAACAATTATGAAGCAGGAATTGATCTGAGATCAACACCAGGTAGTATGTCCTCTGTGTTAGTTCAGGAAAGTGAAAAGTTTTTCTTTTTAAGTTTTATACACTAATCTTAAACTTCAAAAGTATTTGAAAGGGACTGTACCTGATTTTTTCAACAACTGTATTCTCAAAAGTTGGTCGGGATTCTTTATTGTAAGTAGGTCTATGCACTTCAGACAAAATAGCAAAACTGGGCTTTTCTTTGACCATTGGGAAGTAGTAAACTGGAAAATGGGGATGTACTGAGTCATTACTATCTGTAGAATGCAAAGATATAAAAGTATTTATTATTCAGGGAATTCTGCCAAAATATTAAACAAAACAATTAAGGGATTGCACCTGCAAATCATATAATAACTAAGTAAAGTAAAACCAGTTAGAGCATTTCTCAAAACCTAATATAACCATTACTAATATATATGTTTTTTGTGCTATAGTCCCCAAAAACATTATCCAAGCAAGAAAAATTCTTCTTAAAATTGGAAGAATAATTAAAATGATGAAGAAAGAAAAATATCCTTACTGCTACTAATTTTCTAGAGTAAGACTCTAGAAATTAGGGAAATAATGTTCCTATGCCAGCCCCCCCTCCCAACATTGCCTGGGGAGGGCAGCATAGGATAGTTTGGATTCTGAACACTGACTCACAGTTGGGAAGTCCCCTATCTAGTCACTAAGAATCTTACCAGCTGAGTTCCTAGGTCAGTGTCAAAGGAGACACTGAGGAGAGAGGAGACTGGTGGGGCCAGAATATGAGGTATCCCAAAGCCACTCCAACTCCCTTTCTCCTCTGAGACACCATTGTTAGGCAGCCAAAATGTAGAAAATTCTTGAACTATTAACCTATTCTTACATTACTACTGAATTATTGGAAATGGTCTTTATTTACACCAAAAGACTTAAAAAATTCCCTAGCAATAATCCTCAAATATTACAGCAAAATCTCCCTAAACATGTTCCCCTCTTAAATGTTGATCCTGTAAACAAATGTGAGGTTATAACTTGTTTACCAAAATGTGAATATGATGAATGCTCATTCATCATGCTTTCTGCCCTGTTTTTCTTCCTGGCATCTCTGGAAGCTTTCCAATTCATCAAGAATTGTCTTTCCATTTCTTTAATTTCTTTTCCATCAAGGGATTCTGAGAAGAAAATGTTGTAATATTGAAGTCAACAAAAAGCTAGTTTACTCTGGGTTATTCAATTATTTTATAGATGTAGCTCTGCTAGTTTTAGGAAGACCAGAGCAAAACATTTTTTAGTGGGTGTTGCCCTTTTGCCATCTGTGCTTTAGACACGAGGCACCAGTTTGCCTCCCTGCTCTTCACCTCTTATGCTGGATTTGTACTTGTATTTGCAGGAAGTCAGTTGTAATTTCATATGCTTAAATATACACTTTAAAGAAAAGCACTCTATGAGGATACATTATTTTACCAAGAGATTTTGACTGTACTATAACCCTGTCCCGGTACTTTGGTTTTTGGCAAACAGGATTCCCATTCAGCTCCATTTTGCACAGTTTGGGCCATACACCAAGAACCAACTCCAAGTCCTGAAAAAACAGATGAAAACACATCAATACTTTTTTTTATGTAGCCCCAATATGTCATTAATTAATTTATTTGATTAAATGAGAGCTGCCCATAAAGAATTATTGCAACTACCTTTACTAAGTACAATAATAAATAGAATATTATATATGAAATAAAAAGCGCACATATCTTTGGATTATTTTTTTATTTTACCTATGATTTTGACCAACCTTGGTTTTTACTTTCTCTCTATATGTTAAATATTCAGGAGCATTTCCTGACCCTTAAACTTTTAGTGGTGTTTTGGGGAGTAGAAGCAATAGGAATATTACCTTTTGTCAGTCCTGTTCCATTGATACTTCTCATACTCAATACATTACACTTTTTATTTATATTTCTGCAAGTCCTTTAAAATTATTAGTATTAAAATTTATACTTTATTTCAAAGCAACACACTCACATGCCCTTTAAAATACCACTGATTAGCTGGTTGATACAGAAGGATATGAACTGAATCTGTTGCCCTGCTTCCTCCCTCAAATAGCTTAGTGGTAAATTTTGAAGCTTTTTGAAAGGGCTCACCATGCACAAAACCAGCTCTTGGATCAATGAAGGGAACTATGTGAAAAGCATCTATTTGCACATGAGACTCTCCATCCAGATGGAGATACTTTCAGCTTAAATGTACAATCAAATTTCCTAATTTATTCAGAAATTTAAGATGGTACTTTCCCCCTTGTGCCTGTATATTATCCAGGATCACCTAATCAAAGGCAAAAGCCAGAGAGGAAAAGCTGTTAATTGCTCTCAACTGTCTTGTATTATGGAAATACCGTATCTTTGAAGAGTTAATCTTCAAGCTTCCTAGGGGAGATATTAAATGGAAAATGAAAGACAACATGGGCAGCAATGTGCAGGGAGGAAAATGCCATAATACGTTCCCTATATAAATATGCTGCTTCTGAAACATTAACCCCAAATAAAATGTTGAGTAAGTAAGTAATAAATGTTTAATACATTTATATTTACAATATTGTTGCATATTATTGTATAAAATATGTTACGTAGACAGAAATGCATGTTTCTTATATATAAAATGTATCAAATTTTTACATTTATGTATTAAATTTCAAATTGCATATTTATGCAATCTGTCATTTCATTTTTCAAATTTAAACAAAGCTTATGTATATGCAAATGCATTTGCTCACATTTATTTCTTATTAGCCTTGCCTCTGTTTTGTCTTTACCACTGTCAACTGTACATTGTGAGATCATTGGAGCAGAGACCTGTCCTATCATTCCTCACAAGAGGAAAAAAGGCAGAATATCAATGCAATGCAATAATGTATGTGTGTACATATGTTTCACGTATAGGTATAGATCTAAATGATAGCACGAACAGCATCAGTATATTAACATGCTTGAAAAGAATGCACTTCAAAAAATTAATTCAACTAAAGTAGATTTAAAAATGCAAAACAGTATATATTTCTTGGAACTCTCAAAAGTGTGCAGCTAAACTGTGATGAATGTGCCCGCTGAATTTTGTGGTTTTTGTTGACTACTACTCAGTTGATAAATGATCCAGAACATGCTCACACTAGGGTATGTTTATCTAAGAACATACTAATCCCATGCTGAAATATGATTACCCTTTGGATACGCTCTAGTTGTTCATTGCCTTCCTGTCTCTAATAAAGTGCTTTCATTTTACAGCTTTTCAATAAGCTATACTAAAGGGACTAGACACTTTTTTTGGGCAGTCTCTGTTTGATAAATGATCATGTCATGCTATCACTTAGAGGTCTGCTACAAAATACTAAAGAGCAAATTATATTCTAGACACACTGGGGGGGTAAGAGCCTCAGATGACATCTGTATTACTGGCTATAGGCTTCTTCCCAATTAATGATGGTCATTTAAGAACCTGCATTTGACCAATACACTCCAATTTTTATCGGTTGTGTCTAGCTCAAGTGCCCTAACTACATCTGTAGACAGCAATTTGTCAGTATTTTGACGGTCTGCCATTATCTCTTTCAGAAAATCTATATTTTTTCTCTTGTTTCTGACTGAATTGTGAAGTGAAAGAATTCATCTTTTTGATATCTTGTTGTCATAATCAATAATGGCCAAAGGTTGAATAAATTAAAGATTTATAACCATATCATCAAAACTCTGAACCAACCCAAGCCGTTCAGATAAAAACAAGACTTCTACTGCTGCAGATAATTTAACTTCAATCTATAAAGCGATAATCCACAGTTCTAAGCATAAAGAGGTTCTCTTATATAAAATGGAAACTACATCCTTGTATAGGCATATACCACTCAGTGTGCATAACTATTTCCTTTAGAAAAGAGACACTTTTGCACTTCACAGGTTTTGGACTGTAGTAAATATGTATAACTTATTGTATCAAAGGTTTATAAGTGTCTCATGCCTCTAATAGAAATTAAAAGCAGCACATTTCCCTACCACCACTCCCCATACACACACAAATAAGCAATTTGCAGAAATAACTGCAATGTTTCATAGATCTCATAGTGAAAAGTTCTTTTAAAACTCTCTATCTTAAGTCATTGTATTAACTGTGCAGAAAAAGACTGGAAATGAGAAACAAATCAGGGCCTATTTGAATGATGCTTTTCTCCACTCACCTCTATATATAATAGACAGAGACTATTCTTAGTCTTACCCGACATATAAAAAGTAGGCTGTAGGATGATCTGAACTGGCCACAAAAAAGGAGCAAGCAAGCAAATTTAGGTGGAAGGGGATCATTTTTTGGTTAAGCCTGCACTATTTTTTATGAACAAAATTTGCTCTGGTGATAGTTATTTCTTCTGGTTATAAATCTAAGAAACTAATCTTATATGCAAAACATAAAAGCAACTCCTATTTATTTTAACAGAGACACACAGCCTTCATTTCTCAGATCATGCAAGTACTTCTTAATGAGCTAAGAAATTCATCATTCACCTTCAAGACATATTATCAATGATGTCAAAGTCAGCAATCTTAATCATTGGTTTGGTGGTCTGTACAGAGCACAGGAGCACCATATCTGTACTCCAGGGTGTTGTGATGATCTCCCTCCTCACAGCAACTTTTTAGAGTAATATTTTTAAATTTTAAAATCTACGAGCATAAAAGTCCCCTGCTAGATGAGGCCAAAGGCCTGTCTAGTCAAATAAAGTGGTGCCTCACACTTTGAACAAGTGTGAAGCACCACCCCATCATTCTTGCCGCTTTCTGAAGCAGTTCTGGAAGTCCTCTTTCATTCCTGTCTTTAGTTGCTCTGTCATGGCTGCCTCAATGTGCTGAAATGATTAATCTTGAATTGACATT